ATTTGTCATGAAAATAAAGAATACCATCACAATCTTCACAACTACATTTTGTCACTATCATTACAACCACATACATTACATTATAACACATTTTCAGAAAACATTTATGTTATAATGATGTTCATCACAACATATCAATATCTATAATTTTTACTGCTTATTTTCATAATAAATATTGATGCTATGAATAATAAGTGAAAATAGAATATGAAATAAAGTATAAATCAATCAACTAATCATTGTGTTGTTTATTCACTTACGATAATTAGTAATATGAATTGATAATGAATAAACAGAAATAAACTCAAAACCATTGAATATTCATTCTAAAAGAATATAAACTATAAAACTCATGTAAAAACAAAAAGAGATAACAACTCTAACATATGAACAAAGAGTTATAGAGAACGACACAACAGAACAAGCATAAGTCAATAACAAAAGATTAAATAGCTGTGTATATATCAACAATGAAATAAGCAAAACGCATGAATTGAATTAGATGAAAGAAGAGAAAATGAAATAAAACCAAAGAATAGAATAAATATGAAAGATGTTATTTAAAAAATACATCAACAATTCATGTATTTCATGTATTTCATGTATTTCATGTAAAAAGTAAGTAGTGTATAACTAAAAACTTGAATAATAATAACAAATATAACTGATATTTGATGAATGAGATGAAAATAAAGATAAATAATACTGACAATTAAAACAAATCATAATAAAAAGATAGAAGTTAATTAATTATATAATTTAGCAGAAGAATTTGATGTTTCTTCTCCTAATTGATCAATTAATCTTTTAATTTCATTTTCATCTTCTGATGTGATAACCTTTTTGGATTGATTAATAACTCTTTCTAATTCACTTGTTGTTTCAATCTTTTTCTTTAATAACTCTTTTTGAATGTCTTCTGCACTCTCTATCATTTCTTTTAATCGTTGTCTGTGAAGAAGTAATTGCTCTTTTCTCTTGTCTTCTGCAGCATGTTCTTCTCCTTCCTTAACTAGTCGATTGATTTCTTCTTCATTCAATCCACCATTACTTTTGACTTGAATCCCTGTTTTCTTTCCTGTTCCTTTGTCAAGTGCAGAGACTTTTACTATTCCATTGACATCAATGTCAAATGTAACTTCAATTTTTGCTACTCCCTTCTTTGCTGGTGGAATTCCAACCAATTTAAATTCTCCTAACTTTTTATTCTTTCTTGTAACTCTACGTTCTCCTTGAAACACTTTAATATCTACTTCTTGTTGATTATCCATTGATGTGGTAAATTCCTTTGAAACTGATGTAGGGATTGTTGTATTTCTATTGATTAATGGTGTCATCACACCTCCATATGTTTCAATTCCTAATGTTAGTGGTGTAACATCAACAAGAATAATATCCTTTTTCTTCCCTTCAATAATACTTGCTTGAATTGCTGCTCCAATAGCAACAGCTTCATCTGGATTGACATTTTTACTTGGTTTTTTTCCAAAGATTTCTTGAACAGTGTTTTGAATTAAAGGCATTCTTGTCATTCCTCCAACAAGTACAACATCACTAATGTCTTTTTTTCTTAATTTTGCATCTTTCATACATTGAAGACAAGGATATTCTGTTCTTTTACAAATTCCCTTACATAATTGTTCAATTTTTCTTCTACTGATTGTAATTTCAAGTGAATCTTGTCTATCAAGATATGGTAATGAAATTACACTTTCTTCACTTGATGATAATTCACATTTTACTTTCTCTGCTGCTTCTTTAATTCTACTAATTCCTTTCTTATTTCTTTGAAGATTTCGTTTATATTTTCGTTCAAATTCTTTCTCAATATATTGACAAATAGCTTTGTCAAAATCTTCTCCTCCAAGCATTGTATCTCCATTCGTTGCTTTAACTTGGAAAATCCCCTTATTAATATTAAGAATAGAAATATCAAATGTCCCTCCTCCAAGATCATAAACTGCAATATTCTTTCCTTCATTTTCTTTTCTTGTGTCTATTCCATATGCTAATGCTGCTGCTGTTGGTTCATTAATAATTCGTTTAACTTTTAATCCTGCAAGTGTTCCTGCATCTTTAGTAGCTTGTCGTTGTGCATCATTGAAATATGCTGGACATGTGATAACTGCTTCATCTACCCTTTTCCC